AAACACTGATTTAATTAGCTTTTATTTAACTGCATTTTTCTTTCATCTTTCATCATTTCTTATATCGCTTCATTAATCTATTGTGACAGGCTTTCGATCACATCAGAAAGCATCGTGTTCCATAAAACAAAAAATATCATTAAATGAACCATTTAGAAGTCAAATTTCAGAAATCAAATGATTGATTTTGAAGTTGACTTCTATATAATTCAAATAATAAAAATTCTATTTTTGATTCACTGAACACTATAAATATATATAAATGTATGTAATTTTTTCTAAATTGATATTCTTAAATTATTAAAAACTTTATAAAAAAATTGTTTGTAATTTAATTAATCGATAAATAGTACGTTTAGTTGTTGTCAAATGAACACACTGGTAATAATGAAAAATAAAAGAATATATCTAAGTTAATCATGACTGCAAAAATTGGAAACCATATTTTCTTCGCTTTTAATTACTGATGTTGGCGGGACTATCACACGAATATCTGTCTTACGACTTACAGAAAGATCTTCAACCTGATATTCATTACTTTGTTCTTTCACGGAATGTACTGAGGGGCTAGATGTACAACGAGTAGTATCTAAGATCTTTAGATCCACAGGACTATCTCTTGATTTACATGTATCAAGAATAGGCCCAGCATCCTCGATTACACTACTATTTTCATTTTCGTTTTCTGAAAGTGCGCCACTGTAGATATTGCCATTTGAATTACCACCGATTCCATAAGGGAAACAAGCGCCACTACCATTTGAGCCACGCTTAAATGGTCGTGACGTCGTAATCCCTAATTTTTTCACTTTATCATAGAGAGTTCGAGAGGGTACTCCATACTTACGTGCTGCTTGCAAAGCACTCATTCCCGAGCGTACTGCCTCGATCGCAGACATGATATCATTTCTTGTATATTGTTTATATCGTTTCCATTCTGGCTTTTGAACTGGTACATAGTTGATCATTTCTTCGGTAAAAAATAGTTCGTTATATTTCTTTGTAATTCAATAAAAATTGAAATTTCTATATAAATCTATTTTTCTTACCTGTTTTAACATCCGGAGCATATGATTGTGGCGATGATTGCTTATCGTCTTCATCCATTATAGAAACATCGGTATAAGGACTATGTGCAGATTCTCCATGAACTATATCTGTATTACTACGTCTATCATTTTCATTTGATGAGCCATTACTATTAATTCTAAATTGAGTTTCTTGACTATCTGGATGTAAGAGAGGAATCCCCTGAGAACTATCTGCGTGACCTTGACCGAGAACCGTTCTAAGAATCGGTGTGTCTCTATTCATTAACATATTCAAGAGTTTCTTGCGTTTCAAGGGGGAAGTTTCAAAGCCATTGTCATAAGATCCGGTTAAGATGGGGGAGTGTTGATGTGATGCCGTCTGGTGGCTGGAACTGGAATGAGTAATAGGAAATCTTGATAAAGGCCACATTGGTAGCGCTAAACGGCTATTTCGATCAACTGGTGATTTGCCGTAAATATTATACGTGGTTCCTGTAGAATGCGGTGGAGATATATGTCCACTACTATGAGCTGCACTACTGGTTGTACTAGTACTTATGGCTGGCGGAGGAGACATAGATGTTTCCACTTCTTCTTGATGACTTTGAGAGTTATTTTCTTCAACCAATCCCTTCACTTTTAATACTTCTGCGACTTTTAATAAACCAGCTAATTGTTCTTGAGCTACATTTACTTCACCTCGATACATATATTCTAAGATAGCTTTAATATCAGAGTATTTCACGTCTTTTAATACTACAATCGGATGCTTGCATGGTAAATCAATAAATAGAGTTTGAAAATAGGAGGAACATGCCGCTAAAACCATTTTGTGGCATTTAACGGATGCACCTTCATCAACTGCCAAAGTCACGTCGGTGAATGCTTCGTTTTGCAATAACTTATCAAACATGGTCAATAAGTTAGAGCGATGATTGTTCCAGCGCAGACAATATTGTTGTGAAGTGCTCGCCATTTCGATTAATTAGTAAAACAGAACCTAAAATAAATAAATTATAACAATAAGATTAATAATACATGTTCTATTCTGACTTATATATCTGACTTTAATACATTTGTTAAAATTTTGAATAGATAAAAATTATATCTATTTTGATAGAAATTATATCATCATATAAAAAAATAAAAATTTGAATCCAAAAGTTTACAAATAATTATTTGAATGTTTAATAATTATTTGTATTTTTTAATCATTTTCTAACTATTAAATTAATTATAAATGAAATATAGAAATTATATAGCATAATTTCATGAGATATGAGTCATTCATGTGAAACTATTTTCATTTAACAAAAAATGCATGAGCAAAACGCATGTTGTTCATAAAATATATATACAAAACTCAAAATTCGAACAGTAACAATTCTTTTGTAATACATAAATTAAATTTTAATAAATATGAATTAAAAAATAATTTGTAAATAAATAAGCAAAATAAATTTTTATTACATTTTATCAATTAATCAATATTTATAAATTATATAATGAAAATATTTTCTTATTCTTATTATATTTCTTATTATATTTTCACATAATATATTGTAATCTAATACTATATATAATTATAAATACAGTGTATAACATTATAATAAATTTCTATAATAGAAGAAAAAAATAAAAAAAAAATTGACATGGATCTAAAACATTTATCATATAGTATAGCAAAGACTTACTCGTCAATCCGGTCCTCCCTTTTGAAAAAGCTGGCACCGTATGACGAAGCTGTTCAAATGGCCGCCGAGTACGCTAGGAGATGTATGATTAAGTTAACATGTGTGTGCACTCGTATTCGTCACTCAATTCCGTCGAACCAGCCTACA